CCCCAAAACCCCAAAACCCCAAAACCCCAAAACCCCATTCCATTGAATGATTATTGAGATGAAAATTTAATATTACCTTGGATCATAACTTGCAAGAGGTTACATCATTGATAAAATTCATCAGCTTCTTCGCCCCCAAATAAGAGCAACTAGTACCCACTCTGATTCAATATTCTGGTGAAAGGGGTGTAGTGATACTTAGTAATAAGAATCAGCATATACCGTAGACTAGTAATCTCCTGGGTGCCTCTTCTGACCTGATGGAGCACACAAGGGGATCGTCATTGTTTTATAATAACCCAGAGCTTTGATTTAATAATAAAAGTCTTCTCTCATACAGAACGATTTTCCAAACAATTCAAAACCCAGCTTGACTTCGCTGAAGCATCAATATCTATTGATTCCCAATTCGAAAATTTTGGAGATAAGATTCGCAGTCTTGCTTAATGACCAAGTTTTGTATCAGCCAACAGCCTGAAGAATTAGCCTATATTTATTTTGAACTTCATAAATTTATCAAATGTATTGATAATCGGGAGATGAAGCTATCCAAAACTTTTGCAAAGAGTTCCTCATTGGAAATAGAGCAATTAAAAAGAAGCATAGGATATCTCACTTATAGCTTTTAAAAGAATCCTCTCTTAGTAAATACGAGAATTAGATGCCTCCTTTGTTTCATGAGAACCCGCATGACCAAGGAGCTTCCATCGTAAATTATTTTATCAAAAAGGATTTGATAAAGGTAAAATGAGAAATTTTAGCGTAACATAATAGTTTTTAGCAAAATAATTAGTTAGCGAACTGCTTCGCTGTTGATCAGACTTTTTCCTAAAAGTCTTGGGGAAGACCTCTAATCTAATCCATTTTATAACGTGAAGGAGAACCAGTTAGGTTATCACTAAGGCCTAAAATAATCTTGTCTGATATCCATTTTTCCATAAAGGCATCATTGGGCTGATAAACTAACTCTTGAAATTTTTGTGAAATCAGAATAGATCCAGTTTATAAAAGTTCCAAAAAATTATTATAAAATAGTGAAACATAAGAAGGATGGTAGGATAGTAATTAGCGCCTTAATCGGCTGAATAGCGAGTAGATATGCTTCTTTGATTCAAACTTTTGATTCTATCACATATTCATCAACCACGAATCAGAACAGATTTGGGAAAAAAGTGCAATTTTTAGAAAAATCGTAAAATAATTCTTGACAGTCTGATATAGCAAAAGAAGAGATTCTAAGTGGCAGGAGAAAGTTTGCAAAGGTTTGAAGGTCAAAGCAATGCATTAGATGCCATATCAAAATAATTCTGCCAACAATCTGATAGATATTTTGAAAACTAGAGACTCAAGATTCTTCTTGTGCAGGAGCAAGTGACAAATATACTCCTATGCCCTCTACAACTTGGTATAAGTAAGAGATAACAAAGTTTGAACAAATAAGAGTGTTATCTCACCTCAGGATTCTCTTGTGTTCTGATCATGGCTTTTATGAATTCCCAATTTAATCTGAAGTTCATTTTGTCAAGAGTTCCTACACAACTGTTGACATCTAGCTTGTTGGGATAGATACTTCCATAAAATATTGCAAGCTAAGAATGATAGTTTAAAAACTCGATACGATCGTTGATATTTTAAAATATGCATATCTTCCTTCACTGAGACCCAAATTTGAGGTCCATATCTTCTAAACCGGATTTTCCTACCCCTAAATTTGAACTTCCTAAACTTTGCGAGTGAGGATCTTGGAGTAAAAGATGATATATAAATCTCCTGTAACACTGGAAGTTTGGCTTCTAACTTACCTGTTGACTCTAAACTCACATCTTGGGCTCCAGCCAATGTGAATCAAATCTGCCCAATAAGAATTTGTTCATCTCTGAAACTGGCTAGAAAAGAAGGTATTTAAAAAGAAAAATATGAGATTAATAATTAATTTTTAAAAGCTAATGATTACTGATTTGAGAAATAAAGAAGTCCAAATTTACTCGTAAGTAAAGAGTTATGGATAAGCAGGATACTTCAGTAACATTACTGATCCTACTTGAGCATGCTTAGTTAATTATTATCTTTGATGGAGTTCTCTATTTCCCTGTCCTAACTTTTAATCATAGATGTCTTGACCAGTCAGACACTCACAGCACGAAATCTATTGCTGATGATGAAAATTACGCTATCATGTTGATGTCTTCTCAAGAAGAATCCTTTGTAAAGTTGCCTAGCTTGAACAGTGCACTGAAGACAGACTATTTGCCAATAGAATTTGGCCAGGATCTCAGACCACTCCTTCCACTTCCAGAAAAATCAAAAGGAGAAGAGCATCTCATGGAGGATAGTAATGGCAAAATCTACTGTACAACTCTTCCTCCACTAAAAATTCCTTGCGAAAAACAAGCAGATATCCTGAGTTTTGAGGTAAGATTTGAAACTTTGGCGTAAATTTATTGATTGCTACAATCGAAATACTTATCAGATTCTCCTCAGAATCTCGCTACTTGAACACGCTCTTCTAAATTTGTTGTACGACCGATCTCAGAAACAATCTTTCTTAGCTAATATTGTTTCCTTTGCACTTTCTGCAAAGTTAATCGTGTTTTTATGATACAAGAAACGCGAATCTATTCTTATATCATCTTTTATATTTCTTGGAACGTATCAATTACGTTCAGTAAATCCTTTGCTAGCGTACCTAAAGAGTCCCTTGTACTAGACTTATCTATAGGAGCTGAACATGGGTGAACTTAGCCATCATCTCGAGAAAGAGAATATCCCAGATACTCAAGGAGAGAGTAAGAGATTATTTGCTAATATCTTTAGGAGCCCTTACCCTACATAAAGAAATGTTCGAGAATAGCATGATGAAATATACTAGTATCTCCAAAATTATTGCAGAGTATGTACTTCCCAAGTGGACACAGTACTTGTTCCTCAAGAATCAGAGGAAAGAGGCCTGAACAGCCAAGAGGAGAGCTGATACTTACAAGAAGAAGATCGGAAGAGACCTCAGAGAGTTCTACAGGATCTTATTCAGAAGAAGATTCCACCTCTCTGAATATAAGACTCTCGAAGGAGTCAAATCTTGCGTGAAAAAGGTCTTCTCAGAGCTTGGATTCGCTATTACAAAGGAAGATCTTAGCGATTACCATTTGTTCAGGTATCTTCATCAAACACACAAGAGTACCTCTAATAAAGATCTGGAAGGGTTTAAACTAAGTCAAGACTCTCCATTCAGATCAGTAGAGAAGTACAATGATACGAGATACAACGATTTCTTGACCCACACTTTGGGAAGTCAGTTGTTCTACTTTGTATTTAAAAATTTTGATAAGGAATACTTCCCCAGCATCAAGTCGGAAGTCAGGCCCACCGTTAACAAAATGGTGACCCAAATCCTATCCTTTTACGAAGAAACACAGGAGATAAGCAACCTTAAGGGTGCCAAAACCTCTTTCTAATTTATCTAATATTTTCATCCCAATGTAAATCTGACAATCAGGGGTTTTGGGGTTTTGGGGTTTTGGGGTTTTGGGG